ACTCATCAAAAGTCTGGGAATTTATGTGACGCTATAATCATAATTAATGGATACACCCTTATCTAATTGTGTCTGAAAAGGGACATTTTAGGAAGTAGATGAGTTTCGCTGAATGTCAGTTGAGTGAGTTTTAAAAATGCATGTACACTTGATGTAGTCAAAGCTAAATAATTTGAAAGGTGTGTTATATACACGGCACCCCGACCCTCTGGCTGTGACCCAATATTTTTTAAAAGGTGTGAACTCTGAATTGACCATCAGAATGTTTCAAAACAAAAGAGAAATTCTTTCCGCGTAAACAGACTTTCAAGGACAGGTGATGCAAGGATTTTCTGCGTAAAGCATGTATGTGCAGAGAACGAATGCATTGCGCAATAGTTGTAAATAGGTTGAGTTTGAACTAAAGTTGTGGAAATTAAATAGCATCTGTGACTTTGGCGATGTAAATAAAACCAAGAATGAGATAAATACAAGGTTTTTTTTGTTTTGTTTTGTTTTTTTTTTTTACAGATTATATAACGGGGTTGCATCTCTCCCTCTTTCTCTCTCTTTTTCACGACATAGTATTTACACATTTTACAAGAAAAGACTAACTTATCAAAATGAAGAAAAACTTATTTAAATAATTACTTAGACTGAAAGGATTTTTAAAAACATAATACTCGTTTATGAAAAGAAATGTTTTCTTCACGCGAAATGCGATCGGAAGTCATTTTATTGATTCCGAGTTTCTGCCTCTGATTTTCGTATCTAAATTCAGAGTAATTAAAGATTTTCAGATTAAATAAAGATTAACTTAAGAAAAAAAGAAAGAAAAACAAACAAACAAACAAACAAGTATTCTATGCCCTGTAAATTTTTTAAAATTATTTTTCTTCAACATTTTTTATTAATAAATTTATTTTTTGTTACTGATATTTCTCTTCTAAGGCAGACATTTAAACGATAGATCAAACAATTTTAAAAATGAGAAACAATCTACATTTCTTATTACTAAGATTAAAAATAAAAGCACAAATAGTCATATTTTTTCTATAGATCAATCAATATTGAAAATAATTTATATACGTGTATAGTGTTAAATATATAATTCCGCGAACAAGTATATATTCAATTCTGTTAAAGCTTTATTCTAGAATGAAAAACTATTATATAAATGTGTGTCTTTTTTCTATTTTCTATTTCTTCTATATATCAATATATTTACAAATGCCATAAAGATCAGTGGGACGATGTTTTTCCTTTCATTTTATTTTCTTATTTCCTCCATCACTGCTTCAGTGTAAATTAATCTTTAAAATTGAAACCGAAACATAGCACACAAGGCTATGATAAACACAATAGCATACATGTACATGTAATAAAACATTTGAACTTCCCTAATAAATAGAAACTCATTAATACTTCAATTTATATGAATAATAAATAAATTACATTCTTTAATAACGGAAATGAAATTGTAAACATGCATAAAGATCTTCAAAATTCGTTTAAAATAGACTATTTTTTAGCAGCCAATCAATGACCAAAGCTAACAGGCTCCGCCCACTTCATTTGCATACCGTTTCCCAAAGCGTGCCGTTCACAAAACGAACCGTTCCGTGCAAGAAACGAAACGTACCGTCAACAAAGCGTACTGTTCCGTGCATCACGCGAACCGTACCGTGCACAAAGCGTACCGTTCCGTGCACAAAGCGAACCGTTCCGTGAACAAAGCGTACCTTACCGTGAACAAAGCGAACCGTTCCGAGAACAAAGCGTACCGAACCGTACCGTGCAAGTGGTGTAGTAGCACGGTTTAGGGTCTGTATGTCGGAGGACTTTTTCGACAAAGTTACGCACTGATAACATTTTATCGAAGGACTAGTTTGGATATGCACATAACATTCTGAAGAAATGATCAATCCTCTTTGACTGAGAAGGGTTTAATTTTATTTGTGAGAGAATAAATATATCTTTTCTAAATATAAGAATTTGACGACACTTTATTGCAATGCATTTACACTGCAAATTTTAATTTTTCTTAATTTTGTGTTTTGAAATAACAGTTGGATGGATTTTATTTAATTCAAATTAAATTAATTAAAATCTGGATGGAATTTAATTAAATCAAATTTTCTTAATATACAATTGTTCTCTCTCATATGATTCTGAATTAAATTCAAATCAAATTAATTAAAATCTGGATGCATTTTAATTAAATCAAATTTTCTTAATATGTTCTCTTTCATATGATTCTGAATTAACAATCCAGTAATTATGACAAAAGACATGTTGACAGAGTTACGTATTGATTTTTTTCTTTTTGAAATCAAATGTCCAGTTAGCGTTTGCGAAAAATATACTGCATGCGCACTCTTCTGCAAAACAATGCTACCCATTGTAGTGCCTGGCAAATTATCCAATCAAAATAAACTTAGTTGTTTTTTTGTTTTTTTGTAATTGAATTAAAAATCTGATTCTTTAAATTAGTGTTTTGAAAAGAAAAGTTTTATGGAAAAAACAGACCGGATGAAATATTTAATTTATTTTTTAATCGATATATGACTGCATGTATTCTTTCATACAAATTTCAATTAACAGTCTACAGCACTTAATTATGTCTGGGGACTCTTTCGACAAAGTTGTACGTATTGATAATTTTTTATCGAACGACTAGTTTGGACAAGCAAAAAATATTCTGAAGAAATCAACACTCCTCTTTGACTGGTGAGTAATTTTATTTTCACCCGCAAGCATATTAATGCTTCGTATCTTCATAATCTACCTATACCTATATTGCACTGCACTACAATGTAATGGCAATCAAACATTCAGAAGTCCAATTTTGTTTTACATGATTTTTTTTTTAATTGAAGATAAAATTGAAACAAAATGTCTTTAATCTTTATTTTTCTATTTTAAAAAGTTAGGGACAGACTGGATGATCTTAAATTAACAAAAAATCAGCTAGTGCAGTGCTGCAATGCATCCCATTGTAATTGCTTGACGTATACTGTCTACTTAAAACATATTTGGTCTATCTTTATTAAGTTAAACATTGAAATAAATTGGAATTTTCCTGTCTGACTGACGAATGAACATCTTGAGACTCGATCAAACAAAGCGCCCATTGTAGAACAATCAAGAGAGCTTTCACTACTACATGCCTAGCCATCTAGCAGTACTTGTTTTGTGAGAGAAACTCACATTACGTATACACACAAGACCAAACTTAACATGAGTGAGTGACTCTCTTGTCTTATATAGTATACAAGCTTGTTATCCGTTAATATTGCCTGAACATTTGCATAATCGTTTTGTCTACGTTGTTCAAAGGGCCATAATTTGATTATCGAACTTTGTAAGAAACTGACAGTATGCAAATTTTGCAACAAACTTTCAGCCGCAAGAGGAAATTGTATATAAAGGGTGACTTTGGAGGGTGGATGGTGGGGAATGTTTCTAAAGGGCATTAACTAATTATGCTTGTTAAAATACAAGTATAACCTACTGCACCATAATGCACTCTGCTGCAATACACTGCAACATATTGTAGTGCCTAGCAAATCATCCAGTCAAAATAAACCTAGTCAGTTTGTTGTAACTGAATGAAAAATATGATGAAACACATTTTTCTCTTCAGTGTTTTTAAAAAAAAAGTTAAAATAAAAAAGAAACAGACTGAACGAACTATTTTATTCACATTCTACTAATATATGACTGTTCTCTTTCATATAAATCTCAATTAACAATCCAGTAATTATATCGAAAGAATTATGTCGGAGGACTTTTTCGACAAAGTTACGCACTGATAACATTTTATCGAAGGACTAGTTTGGATATGCACATAACATTCTGAAGAAATGATCAATCCTCTTTGACTGAGAAGGGTTTAATTTTATTTGTGAGAGAATAAATATATCTTTTCTAAATATAAGAATTTGACGACACTTTATTGCAATGCATTTACACTGCAAATTTTAATTTTTCTTAATTTTGTGTTTTGAAATAACAGTTGGATGGATTTTATTTAATTCAAATTAAATTAATTAAAATCTGGATGGAATTTAATTAAATCAAATTTTCTTAATATACAATTGTTCTCTTTCATATGATTCTGAATTGAATTCAAATCAAATTAATTAAAATCTGGATGCATTTTAATTAAATCAAATTTTCTTAATATACAATTGTTCTCTTTCATATGATTCTGAATTCACAATCCAGTAATTATGACAAAAGACATGTTGACAGAGTTACGTATTGATTTTTTTCTTTTTGAAATCAAATGTCCAGTTAGCGTTTGCGAAAAATATACTGCATGCGCACTCTTCTGCAAAACAATGCTACCCATTGTAGTGCCTGGCAAATTATCCAATCAAAATAAACTTAGTTGTTTTTTTGTTTTTTTGTAATTGAATTAAAAATCTGATTCTTTAAATTAGTGTTTTGAAAAGAAAAGTTTTATGGAAAAAACAGACCGGATGAAATATTTAATTTATTTTTTAATTGATATATGACTGCATGTATTCTTTCATACAAATTTCAATTAACAGTCTACAGCACTTAATTATGTCTGGGGACTCTTTCGACAAAGTTGTACGCCGACAAAGTTGTACGCATTGATAATTTTTTATCGAACGACTAGTTTGGACAAGCAAAAAATATTCTGAAGAAATCAACACTCCTCTTTGACTGGTGAGTAATTTTATTTTCACCCGCAAGCATATTAATGCTTCGTATCTTCATAATCTACCTATACCTATATTGCACTGCACTACAATGTAATGGCAATCAAACATTCAGAAGTCCAGTTTTGTTTTGTACACGGTTGGGATAAATTCATACGTCACTCCATACCTCAAAAAAAAAAATCAATAAAAATAAAAATTGAACAGCCCCACAACGTTTACATATTTCATAGTAGAATTTATCGATTATAATGTTTGATTCTCCATCATTTCGAGCAAGAGTGGTCTAAATATACCTTCCACATGTAAAACCCTGAAAAACTAAAATTTCAATTGAACTATAATTCATCTTTTTTGAGAGCAATGGACGATCCCTTTAAGCAAGATCGGTCCTCTGTCATACAAGAACACAATTGGCCACACTAAATAGTCCACATCTGGGGCTGGGGCATTCCGAGAAATCATTATATCGGAAGAAAATGGTGAACCTGGCCTCACTTTGAAAGTTACTGATAATGGTCTGTCCTGTATGGCAGAAATCCACGCGCACTTCAGACAAAGTTTGATGAAAGGATGCACTTTGACCGCCTTTAAATGGGCCTTCAGATGTGGTTTTTCCGTTAAGAAAAACAACTGAAAAAAATATATGTACTCGTAGTTACAAGTTACATAGATATGAGGCACCGTTTTGGTATTTACTGCCAAAAAGTGATATAGTATTCGAATAGGTGATATCACTTACTAGTATTCAAATTGGTGAGATCACTAATTCATTTCCAATAGGTGATATCATCTATTTGAATTAGTGATATTACCTATTGGAAATGAATAGGTGATATATCACCCATTCGTGCCAAATAGGTGATATCATCAATTCGAATAAGTGATATCACCCATTCGAATAGGTGAAATCACCTATTTGAATTTCTTGAAATAAATAATGAATGCTCCCTAGACTGTATACTTTACCACCAAGAAACTATTCGAATAAATGATATCATCTATTTGAAAAGAAAGGGTGATATCAGCTAATTAGTGATATCACCTTTTCTAATAGGTGATATCACCGATTCAAATCAAAAACTGTAGATGATATTACTTATTCAAAATCTGTATAGGTGACATCATTGATTCAAATAGGTGATATTATAGTTTGCAATTAAGTGTGAAGTTTTACGTTATGTCACGATCTAGTTGACATCTGCGCTAAAGGTAAATTGTACACGCCTCCTAACCGCAAGCTTTACGACTGGAACTTTCTTCTTATCCCTGATTGGTTGCTCGTGCAACAAACTATTTCAGTGTCAATGTTGATTTTGGTTTGAACATATTTCATTATGTAGCAATTACATAAACGGATTGGGCAGCAGGCATAGCCTATATAAGCCCTCTCCACAGGTACAAGGTTAATTAATACACATATAGTAACAGGTTCATATGTCACTAATAAGTTATCTACAACTGACACAAAATTACACAGAATTTAGGAGAAAGTACAAAAAAATTACATAAGAGAAAAAGAAAAAAATACGTTGTCGTTGTTGATAGTATATGTTGACCAATCATGTTTACGCTGGAAGCATCTGACGGGAAAGATCGTGACGTAACACCAAACTTCACACTTAACTGAAATTAATAATGCCACTTTTTGGCAGTAAATGCGAAAACGGTGCCTCATACAAAGATGCAGAGCTAACAAAAGGAACGCAATCTTTATATTCTCTCAAAGGGTTTTAGAGATTAGAGATGGCTTTGGTTTATGTGAAAGGGATCGAATTTCTTATACTAGTATATAGGATCCAGTACAAGATTAAAATGTTTGGATGATTATGTTGAAAATTGGTTGTCCATCCAAATTGTTTTTTTGACCAGTAAGGAACAGTTCTGCACAACCAAGGTGAAAAAAAGTGCTCCTTAAATAATAGGAAAACGTATAATATTGTAGTGAGTCTAACCGCTTAACTTGTGTTTATTTTTTGTTCATAGACCTATCATAACTCATAAGTAATTGTACGCTCTTTAAATAAAAATAACCCAGACTTTGTACTTTGAATACCTGTTCAATTACTGGAACTATCTGAGGGTTTACTGATCTCCTGAGTCTAGAGAGTTCTAACGATACTTGTTGGTCAGTTTGTTCCGTAGACTGGGGTATACGAATCTGTGAAAATCATTATAATTATATCAGTGTTCAACATATTCAACATTTCTATAAAATTCTATACAAACGATGTCCGCAAAATATCGAGCAAGAATATGTATACACTATACACTTATGTTTATAACATTTTTAAAAAGTCTGCCTTATTTGAAAGTTCTCTGAGGAATTCCAGTTAGTTTCCCAGAAAATGAAACATCAAATGGACATTTCTATTACTTTTTTCGATGTCATCAGGTACCAATTAAATAAATAAACAATAAAACAAAACTAATGTTGACTAAAACTGAATGATAACCTTTTTCAGTAGATGTTGGTTTGAAGTAGGAACAAACAAGGTGTCGGTTAGATCTCTAAGATGTTCTCTAGACAGGTTTTCACAGAATTCAAAACAATCCTGTAAACAAGAATTCCGGTGCAGTATTTTAGATTTAAATGTCTAGAGTTTGAATATCGCGTTACTTGTAAATGCAATAGTTTAAGTATGCACTTCCCCGACCTTTCCATTATTTCTCGTACAAAATTAGAGCTTTTTACCATGATTTTACATAATGTTCGAAATGACATTCAGCTGAAGCTGAGCTGAAAACTCAAGCGAACTTTACTGATAACATGTTGTCTGTTGTCCATCTGTAAAATGTTAACATTTTAAACTTTATTCAGTATCAATGGGCAATTTTCAACCAAACCATTCACAAAGGTATTCAGGTTACTCTACGCGCTTTCATAGTGTAAATTTGGTGGAATCTTTTCAAAATTATCTCAAGAACAATTAAATGGGCAAAACAGTTGAAATTCATGTGGAACGTTTATTAAATAAAGTACAAATTCAAGTTAGTTCAAATCACGACCTCTAGGGAGTTTATAGAAAAAAGTACTTTGAATCTTAATCTTGAAAAAATAATTAAAGCCCTGTTTATATACATGTACAATTGTCGGCATCCTCACTCTCTGTAGTTGTAAAAGTTTTATTACATTTATGTACAGTGTAACCTGTCTAACCTGGACACCGAACTGTTCGCCAGTTGTTGGATAAGACAACATTCAGCCATACAAGACAATATTTTAAACAAATGAATTAACTGAAAAAAGACAAAGTATACTTTGTATTAGGCAAGATTTTAGATTATACAGCATTCGGATTAAACAAGTTTCACTGTATTACAAGTATTTAACATGACAGAAAACAACCTGAAGAATTTTAAGCAGTTCCTCTGTGGCCTCTCTTTCTCTGAGTTTTTTCTTGTAAATGAAGAATTCAAAGGCAGGCTGCCACTCTGTGTTGTATATTTCTGATAATAATTCAGCTACATTTTCGGGTCTATCAGAAAACGAAGAAAAACAAATATGTTTCATTTAAACTGTTTAGATGTAAACATTTAAGGTGCATTACTATGTATTGATCAAAACATACAAAAACGTTCGTTTGTTTGCTGTTGAGCGTCCCACTCGAGAATTTTTTTAATCATATGAAGACACCGCTACCTAGTAATTTTATCCTATATTCGGCATTTAGGACCATTGAACAGCAAGTGACCTTTTTCGTGCCAGCACCTACTTCAACATGGGAAATCGGTTTATATGGTCTTATCCGAAGGAGCGGTCTCGACCTCCCACGGTGGGATTCGAACCAGCGATGTAAGGATCAACTCACATACATCATGTAAAAGTCAGCCAATATCACAAGGAAGTTTCATCAAGTTTTTGTTAAATTAGAACGAGGTCTTTAAGTTAAGGGAACCGACTGAAGTTTCTTAAACAAAACATGTCCCATGAACTGAATTTCTATTCCTACCTAGCAGTAGTGATCTCTATCGGGTGAAGTACAGGTAGCCCTCTCGCCGTCCTCTCTTTTTCAAGGTCAAGGTTGGCCAACCTAAGTCTTTCTACTTCTGATTTTAATTCAGAAATAAGTTCCTCCCTGTTTATAAAGGTAAGACGTTTTCATGGATATTTATTGCATAATGAATGCGTGGCGTGGCTCGAAACAATTAATTGATAAAGAGATATTTTTCAGAGTTTATCGGTATATGCTGTGATAAAATTAAGTCTAACCTTGACTGATCCCCTTTATTTGTGTTCTGTAATATATGAAATACTTTTGGAATGTAGAATCTTTGAATATTTAAAAGCTATCACTATATGCAAGTATGTCAAAAATATTTTTTTTAAGTTAAACATTAAAACTTAAAGAAATCACGCTTTTACTATACCTAAAAAATACAAAATTGTACATTATTGTAGAAGCAACCTAGATTAATACGGGTTACATTGGCCTTACTTGGGGCTTTTCCTCTTCTGTTTTATAGTCTATGTTTTCTTCTACCCACTGTAAAAATCACAAACATATGATTAAATATAAAACAAGAACTAAATACTATATAATGATTAGAAAAAATAAGATACTAAATTAAGGACAGATGGATATAAAAAAAATGGATGTCTGGTTTGGTGTATATTTTTAACCTATTTCGTTTATGAATAATTAAATTGGGATAGAACACAGATTAAAATGTGTCAAAATGAAGAAAATTGAATTACATTTATTTTTATATATTTGGGAGACTTGGAAAAAATCTTATGCCTAAAAATTGAAGGAATCAGTGGATGATGTGACTTTATTTGACCTTTGTCCACTTTACATGACCTTTATTTTTCCAAAGGTGTTCTATGAATTTTAAATTCCTTATTTTCAAAGTTATAGACTGAAATAGTAAGGAAAAATCCCCCCAAAGAAACTGACTAAAAAATAAAACGCTATATGCTACTTAACAGCCATTTTTCATTTTGATAAACATATGTAAATGTATTTCCTATATGACTTCATAGGAAAAGCTGTACTCATGATAAAATATGATGGGAATCTTATAAATGGAAACGTAGCTTTGAACTTTAATTTCTAATTTCCTGTCATGATTTAGAAGTTCCAATAAATGAAGGATTTTTAGGTGCGATTTTTATGATGTAATGTTGTAAACCTCCACCAGGCGCGGAACCAGAATTCTTTCCGGGGGGGGGGGGGGGGGATCGGGTCGTCGCTAGGGGAATCCAACCCAGTCAAAAAGAAATTCACAACTCCATAATTTCTTAAGAAGCAAGAAAAAAACTGAATTCCTTCATGATAAAGGTGGGGTCCACATTTTCTAATGGGGTGGTGGTGGTGGTGTCCCAATGCCAAAGTCATTTATTATTTGATAGAGTACATATTTTAATACTTCTGCTACCTAAGGACCCCCACCCCCTTTCCATATCAAGACCTCTAGTTCTGCCAATCTCCACAAATAAATTTTATACAAAATGCCAACTGAAGCTATAGTTTTATTTTTCCTTTTAAAAACACGAGGATTTTATCATTTGTTATATGTACTTACATTTCTCTCGGCCTCCAAGAGCGCGTCTCTAAATGGTGCGCTATTCACAATCAATGTGCCACCTTTAAAATTTCTTACGCAAGCAACAATAGGCTCTGCCCAGTGAGCAAAATTTTCATCTGGACTTGCACTTTGCGATGGTCGCAGGTCGTCGCTAGGTCTGCGATTATCTAAAAAAAAATCTTTTTTTTTTAAAATGGGGGTGAAAATAATTAAACATGGAAAGTCTTATTTTATCAACAGTCTGTAATATGCATCTTGGCATATACGTGAATTTTTATCAGTCAAATAACTTTATGGTTAGGTAAACTATAAAGCTTTGATATTTTGTAAATGGTATATTTAAAAAAAAAACTTTTAACTCTAGCAACTGACCGCATAGACTTTCGTCCTGTTTGTCTGTCCGCAATTATATCTCTTAATTTTAAAGGAATGTTTTGAGAAAAATGGAAACAAGGTATTTGATTCAGGTTTGTTCATATCTCCAACCGTAGAGAAAGGTTTTCATGCAATTGACAATTTTCCCCGCGTATGGAAAGGGTTCATTTTTACGCAGATCTCGTCAATGGATAAGAGTACAACCAATTACAATTTGACGCACAATATCAGAATATATATCTATAAACCTCTAGGTGTCAAGTTGTCAGGTGTGGCTAGAAAATGCAAGAATTTGAAAGTATTTGTGCTTAAAGTATAACCTCTTAAATAATTTTCTTCGAGCACACTTTTGATAGATATGTGAAATGGTTAGCAATGAGGCTTTTTTGAATTCTATATATGATAAACTGTAAGCAATGTGACTTATAAATATCATATTTCGAATTCGCCGATAATTGTCCTATTTGTATGACAAAAGCAAAGTTAATTTGTACAAGGCATATCTAATACGGAATTCTTTACCACCATGCGATTCTCAACAACACTAAAAAGCATACTTTCTCTTGTCAGTTTGAAACCCTTCTTATTGTTAAAAATAATTATCTTACCTTGACATCCCAGATGATTTTTATACGATAAATTTGCAACTTGATTAAACTATAATATCTATATGCGCTGCTGCTGCATTTGTATATCTTACAAATTCATGTAAAACATCATAGTATAGTATATAAAACAAAGGACTGAACTTAACTGGCTGATACCTCGTCTATAGTGATCCATCCTTGTTAAATGGGCACACACCCTTGTATCTTTCTATATCACCATTTCTGGCCTTGGCTCAGTGATTTTTCATGCTTTATGAATTTGTTCCTTTTCAATACCATAAATGCGGAATTCTATCTACCCTGTGTTGTAATTCGACACACCGAGAACAATCTAGTTCGTCAACAACACAAACCGTCATTTAAATGCTGTTATTGAGTTTTTCGCTCCTTATGGACTTGCAATTCCTGCAAGCTCACGAGGCGTATAGGAAACAACGCTCACCTGGGCCATTTTAACCCTTGTCAGGGACCTTTATATAAAGCTTTTACTATCTGTACCCATTTAAATCTTGATACTAGTAACCTATTATAGTTGCATTCTTGCTCCAGGACCTCTGCTGTTTTTTAACAGGTTTAAAATGTCTATACACCCATATTTAACCACTTGGCTTCTTTTTGCCCCCCCCCCCCCTTTCTCACTCTGTTAAGCCTCGGGAGTTATGATTTGAACAAACATAAACATTTACTGCAGAAGGACATATATATAATAGGAATATAGGACCCTACCACAGTCCATCTAGGATATGAGAAGAATATATTACTCTACCACATCCCAGCTAGGATATGACATGAACATATGACCATACCACAGCCCAGCTAGGACATGACAAGAATATATGACCCTACCATTGCCAAGCTAGGACATGACAAGAATATATGACCCTATCAAAGCCCAGCTACGATATGACAAGAATATTACCCCAACATAGCCCAGCTAGGATATGACAACCCTACCATATCCCAGCTAGAATGTGACAACAATATATGACCCTACTACAGCCCACCTAGGATATGACAAGAATATATGACCCTACCATAGCCTAGCTAGGATATGACAAGAATATACTAGTATGACCCTATCAAAGCCCAGCTACGATATGACAAGAATATAACCCCAACATAGCCTAGCTAGGATATGACAACCCTACCATATCCCAGCTAGAATGTGACAACAATATATGACCCTACTACAGCCCACCTAGGATATGACAAGAATATATGGCCCTACCATAGCCTAGCTAGGATATGACAAGAATATGTGACCCTACCATAGCCCAGCTAGGACATGACAAGAATATATGACCCTACTATAGCCCAACTAGGAAAGAACAAGAATATAATATCCTACCATACATACCGTAGCCCAGCCAGGATATAACAAGAATATTACCTTACAATAGCCCAGCTAGGATAAGAGAAGAATTTATGACCCTACTACAGCCCAGCCAGGATATGAGAAGAATATATTACCCTACCATATTCCAACTAGGATATGACAAGAATATATGACCCTACCAAAGGCAAGCTAGGATGTGAGAAGAATAAATGACCCTAACATATCCCAGCTAGGATGTGACAAGAATATATGACCCTACCAAAGCCATGCTAGGATATGAGAAGAGTAAATGACTCTAACATAGCCCAGCTAGGATATGGCAAGAATATTACCCTACCATATCCCATCTAGGATGTGACAAGAATATATGACCCTACCATAGCCCTGCTACGATATGACAAGAATAAATGATCCTAACATAGCCCAGCTAGAATATGACAAGATCGAATATAGGACCCTTCCACAGCCCAGCTAGGATATGACAAGAATATATTACTCTACCACAGCCCACCCAGGACATGACAAGAATATTATCCTATCATAGCCCAGCTAGGATGTGACAAGAATATATGATCCTACCATAGCCTAGCTACGATATATAGAGAATATTACATACTAAAATCCATATCATATGTCATATCAGCCCGAGGGCTGATATGGGCCGGACCCGAGGGTTGATGTGACATATGATTTGGATTTTTAAAAAGTAGACATAGATTTATATTACACGAGGACTCCCATGCCAATTTCAGTAGTCCTCATCCACTGACGTCAAACACAAAAGCAGCCGTATGAGATTTACATGCATATTTGGCCTCCGTAGTGTCAGACACAGAGACAGATGCGCACGAGATTTGCATGCATATTAGGACTCCATAGCCCCTGACCTATCGACCTGCCTAATTTACATTCGGGCAGAATTATGAAAGAAATCAACTCCGCAAACTTTCAAAGAGTTATCATGGGGGAAAAAATTAGAAATGGAAATATTACTCTACCATAGTCCAGCTACAATATGACAAAAATACATGCACAAAGCCTTTCCTTTAAATTTTATCATTTTTTTTCCCTTGAAAGAGAATGGCACACCAACAAACTTGAATGTGAGAAGTTTTCTTCTGAAATACAATACATTTGTATATAAGGCAAAATTCCAAACTAAACACTGAATCTAGTAGTGTGCATCCCTATGCACATTACTACCGGTCTTGTTGAGTAGGCTTTCCCTTCTAAAATCTTTTTCCCCGGAAAACTGGCTTTGAAGTAGAATTCCCCCCGGGAAACTGGCTCTAGGGTAGGATTTCCCCCGAGGAAATCCCATACCAGAGTCAATTTTCCGGGGTGAAATCCTACTCTGTGTAGTAGTTATAGAGTGCGATTTCCCCCAGAGCCAATTTTTCCCCAATAATATATAAGTTTTTATAATAAGGACTGGTTACAGAAAGATGGACATTTGTACAACATAGTAATTATTGCACACATTGGATTCAAGCAACATATAAGTAGTAAAAGGTATACAAAAATAAATGACTTTCTTCTGGAGAAAAATTAATCCATAAAAATTTAAGATAGCCTTGTTATAAAACTGTGCATTAAAAATGTGTGACATATACAAGTATATCGCTGTGCTATTAGAGGTATGTAAACATCGAACCTGAGGAGTTTTACATTTCTTAAAAAATAAATATCTCCGTTGAAAGTTCATGCTTTGAAATATATACTGAAGTCGAAAAACACTAATTTACCAGTTTACCGTTGATCTTTTTTCACAAAAATATATTGCGGTTGTAGTATATATTGACCCTATAACAAGCTTTAAGGGGGAAATCCTACTTTGAGAAAGAAAGAAAAAGGGGGAAAATTGGCTCTGGTAAGTTTTCCCCTCAGGGGGTAATCATACTCTAGAGTATGATTTCCCGGGGAAAGCTGGCTATGGAGGAAATCCTACTCTACAACACCAGTATGTAAATTAGTTTGCACATCGATTCAGCAACCGACTCAATACTGGTAGTATGCATCCTTAGATGCATTGTGCATGCAAGTTTGGTTAATATAGATCTAAAATTTACTTGGATAAGTGACCTCTTCCAAAAACATAAACCAAAAACATTAACCTGTTTTTAAAACAATAACCTGGACATTCTTTAGCTAAAAATGCAGCATCTGAAATCTTGACTGGTACATTGAAACAACCAGAAGCATCCTCTATCCATTTTGAATTAATATAAGGTACAGAAGTACCTAAAATACTCCAAATTGTGAAATTCTGGTTTGAATAACTCATTAGAAGAAGGATATTCCAATGTGGATACACTTGTACATCCTAGTGAACTGAATATAGTCACAGTGTTATAAAGATCAAATGCAACATTGCCAGTTAGATGCAAGTAAAAAGTGATTATCAAACCTCATTAGATAAAAGCTTTTAAGACATGTAACCTGTTGCTTCAGCTTAAATCAGCTATTCACAAAAGTCTGGCTAATTTCCATCTTACCAAAAGGGCAATGAGACTTATAAAAGGGCTTTAAAATAAAATGAAGACAAACTGCTCTCAATCATTTATTTTTTTCGTGCGTAGTTAATTACATTCTTTACTGTTTTTTAAAACAATTATCAATAACTTGTAATAAATTTATGACAAATCTTCTGACCTAATCCTATAAATGAATTAAACTGTTCATTTATAGTCTCATCAGAAAAGTTGAAGACCTTCTTATGTAATGAAATATTATAAGCTTTCAATTTAATAGGGAAAAGGCTTTCTGCAACAAAAAAGATGTATTTCAAGACTTAATTTCCAACAAAACATATTAAATGTACAGTAATTAGTGTTTTTGATTACATTCCATCGTCATACAAACCAAATAAAAAATGTATGTACATGTATATATAAATATGTGAAAATAAAAATATGCAAAAAACTTTTCACTTCCACAAAATATAACAGGTGCAAATTGATAAATACTTGTAGTATAAGCATCCACTACTTCAGAATATGCATGGCACTGGTTCAATCTCTTATATATGTAACTATTTTAAAATGCAGTGCATTTTGTCTTACCTATTAGTATACAGTATTTGTCTCAACTTCCATATCATAAGATTGATACTCCATAGAAGGTAATTAAATCAACAGTACATTTATTTCCTATACTTTTTTCAATAAATTAACTAAAGTAAAAATTAATATGAAAAGCAAAATAAAACAGTATCTAGATCTCCAAAAATATTTAGTGCACATAATAGTACAGATAACAGATTAACACTTAGATGCTCGTTCTAAACATAAACCACAAACATAAAAAAACACAGAAAGGGGGATAATAACAGCTGCTTTTCAAAGCCTACCATGTTTCCCCAAAGTTTTATTTCACATAATTTCATTTACATAATGCTGGACATAATGTCACATAATTTCACTTACAAAAATTTTATTCCATCAACAAACACTTCTGATTTGGGACATATTGGGATTGTAAACTAAGCCAAATTCAATACAGTTTCCTTTATCTTAATTCATCGACTTCACTCATCCTCCAAACAAATTGGCTCTGTACACGTTGGAAAATCAACCAAGAATATCTTTGTCAAATCTATCATTCTTAAACACCTTCAGATTAACATGACATAAAAACTCACGGTTGCCTTTAAAAGGGTACACTGAGTAATCATTGGTTTCTGAGTATGAAATTATCAAGGATAAGAATTTATCCCTTGCCTTGGGGCAATGAATTTCACAATTTTGGCAGAGGGGTCAATGCTTATCATCAAGCCAACAGTTTGTCATCTTTAAGTCCAGGAGTAAAAGAGATTTATGAAGATAGCATTAATTTTGCCATATCACTCAGGAGACAGTGGGAAGTTTGGAACATATAATTCATCATTTTTGTTCCCCTTTGGTTTAAGATGATAGGTACTAAAATTGGTTGAAAAGAAGCTGAAATGTTCAAATGTTAATACATATATATAATATATATAATGACGATGGACAAAACAGGTAGCTGTAGGTCATCTGAGCAACTCGGTTTACATGAATGCCAAACATTTTTCTCTTGCATGAACATGCAAACACAAATGATCATTAAATTAGGACAGAGTTTTCTTTTGTTATATTAATTAAATCAATGTCTATAGACAGATCCATCTTTAAGAATTTGGCTTCCCTCTTCTAATGACTCAAACTTTTCCAGACTTCCAGGAAACAATTATTTATATTTCAGCATTTTGGAAAAGTCCATTTTGTAAATTCAACACTGGTTTGTAAATTTTCTGTAAAAAAAAAAAAGTTTCCCAACTTCCTACAGACCCAAATTTTTCATATGTAGTCAGGAGACAGCAAACACACATATTTATTTTAAAGTTGGCTTCAGCTAATTACAATATACACCCCTAACTTCATTTGTTGTTGGGGGAGGGGGTTAAAAAAATATTCTTTGGTATAGAATTCACTTGTAAAGTGAAAATAATCTTTGGACAGATCCACTACCCTTATTTATATATTTATCTCATGATGTGAGTAGTGAACTGAAACCCATTAAATATATATACATCAAGAAAAAATGCAGGAAAAAAAATCAACAATCATAATAGAAATCTGTCCCATTGATATGAAATAATTCTAATGTTTTAACAAACATGCAAAAAGTTTCAATTACATATCAAATAGTTTATCAAAATATTATACTTTTTTCTATAAAAGAATGAAGGTTATTTGTGTCTTATATTCATCTAAAACTCAGTATAATCAATTCTACTTAACACAAAAAAATGAACAATTTTAAGCAAGATAGAACACTTTGATTTTTTCAAATACAAATGTTATGCAAAATGTCTGAAGATCTTAACTTATGGGTCAAGAAATTTCTTTTTAAATTTTAAACACTATATCTAACATAAAAAATAATTAATTATATACTAATACATTTTTTAAATGTCAACAAAATTATGTTTAACAATACCTACAACCTAGTGAGATTATTGTTTGTGGGTGGGAAACATATGTTATGCAATTTTTATAGAAAAAATTATATTCAGCACCAGAGTATTAAATTTACTGTAGATGCCTCAAGTTCATATCATAAAACAATATGGATCATAAAAATAATTATAAAAGAAGGCATATTCTTTCAGAATATCAGAAACATGTATATACTATATATATAAAACAACGATGAAAATAAAGACATCAAAGAACATGCATTTAATACATGTTTTCAAAGTTAAGCAAATTTTAAAACATTCAATGATCGTCTACTGAAAAAAGGCACAAGTGTATTGTCCATTTGTCAGTCCTAGTCTTTTATTTTCAGAACAAACGCAGCTTTAACAGGCCCTCATTTACCTCAGCAAAACTGAAAAAAATTACCAATACTTAGTAGTTCAGAAGTACATAATTAAAAATACAAAAAACAAAAGTGATATCCAAAATGATTATGTAGGAAAAAATACCATTCTTGGGTATATATCCAGCACAAATGCTTGGTAAATGTACCTTGATAATTATCAAGATAATTAATTGTCATGAATGAATGGAAATTGCAAAAAATAGGAATTTTTTAAAGTCCAAAGGGCATAACTCTGTCCATAAGAGCTCAATTGTGCCTAAAACAAAGCTTGATCTAGATATTTTCATGATAAATACATGTATTTATACAAAATTTTATTTCAATGTGTGGATATATGTATAACCTCTGCAAAGAAAATGAACAGAAACTGACGGTGGACCATCAGATCAACAGACCGACTGACAGACAGACAGCAGCAAAGCAATATGCCCTCCCCTCTTTGAAGGAGGACATAATAAAGATGGGCATATAAGATATCTAAGTTTTAATTATTTAATCTTTGTCATTGCTATCAAGTTAGAAGTTCCAAAGCAAAGAAATAATAAGCTTGATATTCGCAATGTAATTTGGTACATGTAATGCTTCAATTCTATGTCCTCTGACCCCCTAATAATTTCATATTGGACTTTATTGGACAAACTTTCCAAGTTAATCTAGGTAAAATGTTTGAAAAGCATCCAGGGGTCCAAAAGTTTAAAGAACTACTTAATTTTTATTCCAACCCTTTTTTCACACTGAATCTGATAATAAACATTGCAATAAAGGATATCTCCTCAACTTTATGAGCTGAAATAGAACACAGAAGCATGAAGAACAGTCAATATTCAAAGCTCAATAAACTAACTTTGAAATAGTCTAAAGTTTTGCAATGATACTGATGTATGAAGTGTATATTTACTTGTAGTTGTTCTGTTTGAGCCATCGTATTACGGCTGGTCGAATTCTTGCCACTCCACCTCTGCTATGACTGCCCCTTCCTGTTATGATGAAGAGATCCTTCTTTTTGTCACCTCTACCACAGAGCTCTACGAGAGATTAAACACAGGAAATCAAAGATTATGGAACAGCTCGGCTGAATGAATCTCCCATACTAAACTAATAATCTAGTTATGTGCAACAAAACAAGTCTGTTAGTTTGCACCCCTTGATGCATTCATATCCAGCATGTGAAGAAAGTCTGTAAGTATGCACTCCTAATAAGTCTGGTAGAGTGCATCCCTAGATGCATCACCTTCAAAGTTTGATCTAAGTATATTATGAACGAACCTGCTGCCGGCATTTCAGCATGGTCACTCATTTAGAAAAGGTATCAGAAGCAAATTTGATAGGGTGCATCCCTTCATGCAAAATCCCTGCAAGTTTGGTGCAGACAGAGCTCAAATTACACTGGTATGAACCTCCGCCAAATTTTAACCTGTCCTGGTATTAATCATGACAAGAGGCCCATGGGCCTTATAGGTCACCTGAGTATTATGCAACAACTTTCCAGTGATTGAATTTGATTCATGTTTTAAGCCAGATGCTATGGCATTCACAATTTTGAAAGAGGCACCATTGATCATCATATCAATACACTTAGCAGTTGCTTAGTTTGTTTACTTAATACCCATATACAGGGTAAGGGAACAAAAAATGCATTTCAACTAATCAGTAATATTCAGCAATAATCAATAGTGCCCCTACCACACATGAACCCCTGACCTTTAGGCCTTGATATTTGATTAATACCAAGGAGCAGATTTCAAACCATTCATTCATTTTCAGTATATAAGTACAGCCCCCCCCCCCTTCTATGGTACCCTGACCCTGGGGCCTTGAAATTCAAAATTCTGGAAGATTTGGGCCCTTGTGCAGCATAACTATATAGGTAGTTCATCTGCTTAATACCCTGGAGCAGAGAAGAAAATTTTCAAAGATTTAATGTATTTTCACTATATAATCAATAGAGCCCCGCCCTAACACCAGAACCCCTGACCCTGGGGCCAAACAAATTCACAATTTTGGTAGAGGCACTCTTGTTCATCATAACTATGCACTTAGTTAGTTTATTTAATACCCAGGAGCAGAGAAGAAGATTTTCAGAGAATTCATGTATTTTCACTATATAATCTATAGAGCCCCGCCCTAACACTAGAATCCCTGACCCTGGGGCCATAAAATTCACAATTTTGGTAGAGGCACTCTTGCTCATCATAACTATGTACTTAGTTGGTTTATTTAATACCCAGGAGCAGAGAAGAAGATTTTCAAAGAATTCATGTATTTTCACTATATAATCAATAGAGCCCCACCCTAACACCAGAACCCCTGACCCTGGGGCCATAAAATTCACAATTTTGGTAGTGGCACTCTTGCTCATCATAACTATGTGCTTAGTTGGTTTATTTAATACCCAGGAGCAGAGAAGAAGATTTTCAAAGAAATAATGCATTTTCACTACCTACTTATTTAGCCCCGCCCTAGCACTAGAACCCCTGACCCCAGGGCCATGAATTTCACAATTTTGGCAGAGGACTCATTGCTGATTACAATCATGCAAACAGTTTGACTGCTTGATGTCCAGGAGTTAAGAAGATTTTTAAAGATAGCATTAATTTTAGTGGTTTTGGCCCCACCCCTCAGGCCCCAGGGGGGCAGGGATCATGAAATCCACAATTTTTGTTCCCCTTCAGCCATAGATGCTTTAGGCCAAATTTGGTTGAAATTGGTTCAGTGGTTGCAGAGAAGAAGCTGAAAATGTTCAAATGTTAACGCACAACGCACGACGCACGATGCACGACGACGGACGAAAACGGATAGCAATAGGTCACCTGAGTTTACTCAGGTGACCTAAAAATGTACAATACATCAAGCATCTAGGAAGGGCTTGAAATTACCATATTAAAATGTGTTGATATTACTGACAGACATTTTAACATACTGTAAATCACTTTTTATTCGCGAAAACTTTATTTTTACGTAATTACGTGAGATTGTGTACTCGCGAAAATTTAATTCTCGCGTATAATAGTATTACTTAAGATTATATAGAGCAATAACCACAATTTGTGAAAATTTTGTCTCGCTAATCAAGAGTCAGTGACTATCTCGCGAAAATAAGGTGTCGCGAAAATTTAGTGATTTACAGTACTCATCAAGTATGCAGAACACATTCCACAAACAAAAGAATATTTAACCACAGTTTTTAATCAAAGACAAGATAAGAACCATTCATTTTACTTAAGAAAGAATGATACTGCTGAACATGTTGATAATCTTATTAACTTACTTTTCCTCTGATCTTCTATAACCTTTGAAAGTACAGTAACTGCCTCATCTACATGTAAACCATGCAAATCTAGTGTGGACTTGGTTTCAAGATACTCAACTCTTAAAAAAAAAATATAATAAACTTGCAAATTTTGTTTTAACTATGTGATGGTAAAAATCTCAGAAGAAATATGGCTGATAATAACTAATATATTTAAATATGTCTTAGTCTATGATTCTGACATTTCAGCACATCATGAAAATTTGTACAACATTTTAAAGAATTGGAAAAGGTATCACTTGCTCTAGTTTTCATACCTCCGAGATAAAATCATTTGTGCAGCATTTTCATTTGCCTCCTTGATTTTCTTAGTGTGCAAATGGCCCTGAAAACCAAGCAAATTGATTAGATTCATGCAACAAAAATATGTATGATAATTATTACAATTTTTGTTTTAAAAAATATCAAGGCCAATAAGCTAAATATATTTATATGACAAACGTAGATCCACCTCCTTATTGTATTCCTTATACTGGCTTTACTATCTTGGCTTTATTGAAAAAAATGGTATACCACATGAATGTTCAATGACCCCCTTAAGGCCTTATAAGGAGTCAGTCAGGCTCACATAAGGTTCAAGTGTCCAGTTGATGACTGGAAATTAAAATTACCAAAAAAAAACCCAGGTCCATGGGAAATGTGGTTACAAGTCAATGAAGCCTCTGACCAGTAGAGCTAAAAATATACAATTCAATGACACCTACCTGATTAGAGTAAAAATGGGCCACTTGTTTCATGCCTCGCCTGAAGGCCTCCTGGGCTTTCTGGAAACATTCATGGCGCAGTCTGTAATGTAGATTGGCTTCTCCTCGGATGTCCTCATACTCCGGGTTCTCAGCACTTTGATATTCCTTCTTTACTTTGGGACGGTAAGTGTATGAATCAATCTGTAAATTCAAGTTAGAAGTTCATATGCAAATTGGAATACATTGTAATATTGCAAATGTGAACTGTAATAAGACAGAGGCAAACAGTAGGCAGTGATTTACCATTTCTTGTAGACTTTGCTGTTTTGCAGCTTCAATCAATTTTCTTTCATACTTGTCTGCTGCTTCTGCTGTCATCACAGTCTTCGGTGGCTCATTACTTCCCAGCGATCCTTTCACTGCTCTCACTGTGTCAGCATAACTGAAGCTGAATATACAAATTTATCATTACTAATGCATTTTGTGGGAGACTCAACTCCTATAAAATTTGAATCAAATGCATCTCTAGGGTGCATAATATTCCCCAATGGCTGACCTTCTTCTTACTCATTACTAAGACAAAGAATTTTTGTCTGTTACCATTACATAAACAATTTTTGCTAGGGGAAAAGGACACTTTTTTCATACATTTGGATCAGAATTACAATCATTTTGAGAGATGTTTAGGTTTTATTGTGAGGGCAGGGTATTTTTCTGTGGAAAAGGATTACCTAGATCTGCTGACATTGACAAAATTGGATCAGAAAGGCTCATTTGTCATTTCCTGTTAAGCTGAGATCATGAAAGCAACAGATCATTACTAAATTCAATTAGCAGTAAAAAATGATATCTTTTATAGCATACCAATTTGCTTGAAATATTTCATCTAAGACAGAAGGATCAATGGCTGGAAATTCTTCATGCAGCTTCTGCCTTTTCATTCTATTTCCAATTGTATTATGTAAACCTGAGGCCTTTAAATCTTCTTTCTGAAAAATAGTTTATTAAAAAAAAAAAAATCAAATTTCAAAGAAATGTGCTCCCAAACTTTGAGGGACTATTTGGTTGGTTTATAATAATTTATGGCATACTGTAACAGGTTTTTCTGTCCTGGATTTCAGGAACTTCTTCGCAGGGCATAAAAAACTTTGACTGTTGTTAATGCCCAAAAATGAACATGTTGAGTATTTCTTCAGTTTTATTTACCAGATTAGCTTTCCTTTCCTCCTCTTGTAACTGTTCTTGCATTATAAGATGCATGGACTTTTCAGTAGATCTGCACACAGAATTATTCATTTCTGACTGAAGTTGTTGTGCAAAGGCTTCATCTAAATGCAAAGTAATAAACTTCATATTAGCAGTTTGCATATATTTATCTTAGTTTTTCCTTTCCTAATCATGCCTATGATTTTTTTTTACCGTACTGATCACTTTCTCCAACAGTTTTTTTTTCCTAATTTATTTCCCTTTACAATCAACATTCAATTCGGTCAATTCATTTTAAGCTAGTGGCTTTCTGTGATAATATACCTTCAGAAATTTGCTGCCTGCGATTAACATGGATTTCTACATGTTCTGTCTTCAGACACTGGTGAAGTCGCTGTGCCGTTATGTAATCTACTGGAATTGTTAGAGCTTCTGCAGCTGCTATATAAAGAAAAAAGACTCCTATACAAACTGTTAACTAATGCATTTATAAGGATCTCTGGACAAAACTGTTTTGTCTAAAATAATCTTTACACTGTAAACTACACTTGAAATAATATATTGACAGTGTTTGAAGTATTAGCTGCCTGTAGGGATCTACAGTGTAGATAAACTTGTCAAACAAGAGACTCCAGGACCATAAGACAAACCTGAGTCATCTTAGTGCATGGGAAATTGCTTTTGAAAAAAAAAAACATTTTGCACTAAATTGGGTCCCATTCTAGTGCATAAATTGTCATGAAAAATAAAACTTATCCACACTATTTGGGCATATCTGAATGTAAATATTACTAATGTAGATTTGCTTTTCAGGAAAAGACTCTCGCTATTCTGAACAAACTTTTATATGTTTAATTTGATGCCTAATTCTAGCACGACCTCAACACAAGTGAATACAATACATGTATATTTAATATGAATGAACTTGTACCCAAACAGTGAAGCAATGTTTGCATCTAACTTTAATTGGTAATTTTAGTAGATATAAGGTCAGTATCATTGATATTGCCTATATGATCTTGGTTTAAGGTCATCATTCCAGTTTCTCATTATAAAGTTATATTATAGCCACTATTTTACACAAAAAAAAACCCCACCCTCACAGACAGAGTTTTCTTTCATATACATGTATCCCCAGAGATTGTAGATATTGTTTACCTGGAGTCAAGTTTCCAACGGATCCAAAGAGGCTGAGAAGAGCCTGAATAAAGTCACTGGGGAGTTCTAGGGAGAGTGTCAGATTAGCCGGGGACTCTGTCACCGGGATAAAGCCAGCATCACTCACTTGACTAGTATCTACCACCTCCTCAAACACACCACTCTGTGGAGAGTCAACATACGAGGAATTCAAGCTCTGGTCCAGCTTCGACACATTTTGTAAAGAAACACTATCATTTGCTGGCTCATCTTCTGCGATAGCTACCAATTCCTGCAGGATCATTCTATTGAACTCCTCATCTTCTATAAATATCTCATCTCCTTCATTACCTCTGGAGAACTGCTGACAGGTACGGATGTTGGACTCATAAGAGAGCATCCTTTTCTCAGAGTTTGCAATCAATTGATTTTCAATGTCTTCTTTGGTTGCAATATTTGTGTCTTCCAAGTATTTTATACATATGTCAATTAACAAGGCAGGTTGGTCAGATTGCTCCCCCACACACATGCTTGAAGAACTTCTCGATCTGGCAGGGATAGTTGGAGATTTTGGCACATGCTGTACCTTAAACATAGAGTCTAAATATTTATTTTTGTCTTCTTGACTTAGCGAAATGTCATGAAAGTTCCAATCCAAAATAATGTCTGCTGCCCATTCTACATTATTATCACAACTCTGTAAAACATCTTTCAAGTCTGCTTCTGGGATTGTTGGAAAACTGTTCTTCAAGAATTCAATGTCTGCTTCTAGAAAATCCTCTGTCATTGTACTGCGATGCACTGTCATAACATTTGAGCTTTTTGAATTTTTTTCTGAATATTTATATGTTGAATTAACTTTCCATTCCTTGCCTTCAATAATCACTACCTTACAAGGTTTTTTACTGCTGTCTGTTGTTCCCCTGCTAAGATCATGCATTATGTTTAGATCGTGAGGTGTTATCTCCGTCTCTGAATCCACTTTTATGACCACATTACTGTCATTAACACTGAGTTTTTTCTCTACATTGTCACTTTTCACATCATCAAGGCTGTCCACTTTGATAGCAGTCCAGTCATTTACAGCTAGCTTAGCCCTGTCACTGTCATTAAGTAGTGGGAATCTAGCAGCCATTTTCCTCTTACTGTTCTTTTTAAGTGACTTTGCTTTATCTTTCTCGTGAACATTTTCATCTTGTAATGATATCTTGTTAGCTTCACATACTACTGAGCTTGGTTTTTTAGAAGTAGACTCACTGGCTTCTTCACATCTCTTTGGAGCTGATGCCTGGGGCTCCGTGGGAGAGCCAGCTATACTTTTTGAGAGGTTGGAAGTGTCTGAAAAAGGTTCTGTATCCTCATGCTTGGAGTTCATGGCACTATTTATGTTCTCTACTAGACTTTGTGCATCAGATTTCTCTGCCACTTTAGCCTCAGTAGTGTCTGAAGCTTGGCTATTTCTTTGTGGATGAGTACTGACCTGTCTCTGTCCAAGGGGTTCTTTATTTTCCCATGAGTCACTGGAAACCACAATATCAGTGTCAGTGTTTTCCTGTTTTGACCAGTACAATAGCTCAGATGCCTTAATGTTGTTTAGTTCTGATGTTACATTACTTTTTGGAATAGTTTCAGTCATCTGGTCTTTGTCATCTGATTCAATATTATCTTTTTGTTGTACTTCTTTATGTGTTGAATTATCACCATTCCCATTGTCAGGTTTTAGGTCCCTTTCTGAGTTAGAATTTTTGTGGATATTTTTTTTCTTGCTTCTCTGATCCATGGGTGTATCCCAAACCACTTCAGTCTTAGACACAGTTATTTCTCTGAACTCACTTATAACATTGCCTTCATCAGCAGAATTCTGCTCCTTGATATCACCTTGTTCATTATCACAACTTGTAGATAATATTTTAATTTTTTCTTCTATCATTTTTTCTACCTGCATGTGCTGGGTTGGATCAATGTCCATGAAAAGGATCCAAGATTTCAGTTCATCAATGATCTTATCTTGGTCCAGGTCAGTATTCCAACAGCTCCCCACATTCTCCATAATAAGGCTCTCCACTTTCCCCTCTATATCTTCTCCTGCTGTGTTTGTGTCTGTAATGTTGGCTGTGGAGGTAGACACTGTGAAATATTCCACAGTTTTGGGACAAGTTTCTTCCTTCTGTCTAACACCCTGAGAAACAGGTGGTGACATCAGAGTTTTCCGTTTAGTGATGATTTCCAGTTGTTTGTGTATGTTGCTGGGTGACATGGCCACATGAGACCTAGCCACGTATCCTATGGAGTTAGGGATGGGACTCTGTCTGCTATCACTCAGCTGATCAAATTCCTTCTCCAATCTTTTTTCAGAATCAGTATCACTACCAATAGTGGAGCACTCACGACCAGAATCACCACTGTTTTTTCTGAATTTGATTGAGCTTTCACTCTCCTTGAAATCCTCCGGCCTTGTCAAGAAAACCTCCTGGTCCAATGAATCTTTGCGTGAAGAATTAAATGGACTTCCCCTTCCTGGCTGGGAATTTCTGAGTTCAGGAAAATCTGCTGCTGAAAACTCTACATCCTTTGGCTTGTCACCATTTTCTCTTTTAAAAAATATCAGTACTTCACATTAAACAAATTCAAATTGAACTTAAAGAACATAAACTGCCTAATTTAAGAATTCTTCTAATGAACACAAAGCACTTTCATATACAAAAGTCACAGAGACTGAAGTCACTTAAGACAAAAACTTTTGATGGGATTTAGAATTTTTTGTTACAGTTTTTGTCAATTATTTTCTTTAACAATTTTTTTTCTGTATTTTGTTCTTCACATTACATACAGGAGATAAAACAATAATGAAACAAGGTCATATAAAAACACTTACATTTTAGTTTTCTTTACAGGGGAACCCAGGATCAGTTCTACTGTTAAATCTCGTTGGTACCTTTCTTTCATTTTTTGAATATGTTCTTTTGACACACCATGATCATTTCTCCTAATAAAATTTCAATAATTTTGTTTATATGACTTTTGCACAACAATCTAATTAAACAAAACCAAATTTTCTATGTAAAGTCAAACCTACACATCTTTTATTACAATTCTTTGGATTGGCACTTCATGTAACAGTCAAGGGATGAAAAGTTCTTTAAAACTTTTAAAATCTTTCTAGTATTGACCTTTAATCATAAATATTTCAACAAGCAAAATAATGAAGATATTTCAGAATAATTTTCCCTACCTTGCTAACTCTTTCACAGAATATTTCCATGGTGTATTGGGTTCTAATAATTCCATTTCATATGAAAATGCTTTACCCTGCAAGAAATGGTAAAAGATTAACATGCTTAAGCATCATAGGCCACTGTGCAGCTTTTTGAAGAGATATGATTATCGAGATTTGACTAGTTACATGTGGACATTGTTGGAAATTCCTACAGAACTAGTCAATTTAATGTTTGATTATTTTGAGTGACAGGCTATCGTTTTCTTACCAGTTTTAGATATGGCTTGATTTCCCAGGACTGAGTATTTGTGTTGTCTATAATGACAGGTGTACACCTCTCCTCCATTGCTGCTTCAGCTATTATCAAAAGATATGTATAATTAAAATATATCTACATTGCATTGTATATCAAAAAAATGTACTTCTTTTGACAAAATAAAGTATGATAAGTAAAAATAAACACCCTTCTTGTAGCTATATATTAACAAGAAGTGCTCAGTCTGGCCTGTGTCTATTGTAGACAGACTCGCTCAAGAGGTAGACATGAAATTTATATGTAAACCCCTTATCTAACAAGAAATTTATTACTATGTCATGAGTTATATATCCTAATTGTTTTAAAACAAAAACAATACTCTCTGATTATTTTAAACCTTTGCGTCAAGTAAATATTGAAATCAGATGAAAACTGTAGGTCTGGAGGAGTAGCATTTTAAAAGTATTTCACAGAAATTTCTATTTTTAATAACCAAGGCAACACCGTTTATCAAAATCAAAAACTGATGGACAGAATTATGTATCTTAGTGTAGTCGACTTGTGTGCTAAGGTATATTGAAATCAGACCAAAACTGTAGGTGGAGTAGCATTTTAAAAGTATTTCACAGAAATTTCTATTTTTAGTATTCACGACAACACCGTTCATCAAAAACCGATCCACAGAATTATATGTATCTTAGTGATGTCTACGCATTACATTGTACTATCGCATAAGCTCTTCTGGTCTCTGACCAGTAGAGCTAAAAATAATGAGTTGGGGGGGGGGGGGGGGATTTTAACAGGTCAGTTGGAGTAATCAGAATTACAAGTTATTTTTTAAGTCTATTAAATTTGAGGTATGAAATTTTTTTTTCGATACATATACATGTATTTTTATATTTACCTCTTTTGCGATTCCATTCATGAGCTTCTGCAAGTTTACCGACATCAAAGCTGTATATTTTATTCTCCCAAAAATAATCATCCGTACTTAGAATTTGTCCATCTCCAACAAGCTGCCTATGAACATAATATATTATAGTTGTTTTAGCATGATTTCATTGCAAGCTTTTCAGAAAAAAAAACACTTTCAGAGATTTAATATTATATCAAACAGAAAAATAAACAGGAGGTTAATGGCCCAATGAGCTCATCTGAGTGACCTTGACTTGGTTATTATTCAGAAAGTGACTCAGCCCTACCACAGCTGGTCCAGATTTGAACAAACCTTCCCTAATATTCCCTTGTCCAACTTGATTCTACCTACCTTACTATGCTTCAGTATTATTATTAATTTCTTGGTTCTCACCCTATCTCTTCCATCATGATTTTTATTGCTAAATCAATAAAATATAAACACCAAATCACCTCCCTCATCATTTTTTGAGGTTTTGTACAATGTAAAAAGCTGCCTCATCATGTTTTGGGGGCAGAAAAAAAATTTCTCTCACAAAAAAGGCCTGAGAACCAAGTAATTAATTTTGCATGGCCTTATCACTAATCATGATCTTGCTCTTCTTGAGAATTTTACAAAAAATTCTATGCCCCCTTAATCAAAGATTTGGGGGTATATAGATTTTGTCTTGTCAGTCCATTTGTCTGTCTATCTGTTTATCCACAAAAACTTGAACCTTGCCCATAACTTTTAATTGGGTAGAGCTATAACTTTTACATTTCACAGATGTATTCAATGCAAGCAGAGAGACTTGCTTACCTTGCTAATGTAGATTTCCCGCTTCCCGGAAGTCCCCTTAAAACTACCAGCACTTCAGCACCACTCGCAATCCTTTGACTCACTCTCTCAATGTCCCTCTCATTAGCCTCAGCTGAAGTTTTACCACTTCTTTGGACAGGTAATACGCCACCTGGGGGTAGGAAAGGAGGAGCTCCTCTTGGTTCTGGAAAATTGGGGAAATGCTGCATCCAAGGAGGCATTCCCCTTGGAATAGAGCCCCTGGCTCCTCTAGGTGGCCAAGGTGGACGCATCTGCATACCAAAAGGAGCTCGTGGTAGGCGAAAGCCTGGGACAAACTGATTAGGAATTCGAGGCTGTTGAATAGGTATTCCCCCATCTAAAGGTTTCCCCATTTTTGGCATCACAAAATGAGGCTGTGTCCTATCTGATTGCTCATCAGCTTGTTCAGAATCATCTTCTTTTTGCAATCTTGGAACAAATTCTTTTGCAGTGACAGAGAGTTCAAAAGATAAAACTGGTAACTGCATTTCTGTTGAATTTGGCCTTTCAACTGCTTCACTGCTGTCTACACTTAACTGATCAGAATGGTCTTGAAAAACACTGCCCGCTTCTTTCACCTGATCTGAGTTACCTTGATTTTGGCTTGCTCCATGAAGTCCATTTAGATTACTCTCTTTTATCAAACTATCAATGTCAAATTCTCCTGAGTCGTGTCTTAAATTAAAGGCACTTTTATTAGCAAATGAATACCTTGAAGTTCCATGTGCTGATGGCTGGGAGAAATTTGACAACACATAACTACTTGCACTTTCATTCAGACTTGACTTATTTCTGTCATTTGTGTTTTGTGGCCATAGAGATGATACAGGTGCAATACTTCCTCCCAGTGTTTGAGATATGTGATGTGGTAACTGCTCTGTACCAAGCATTGGACATTTTTCTTCTACAGAAGTAGGGATTCCATTGTCCTGAGAAGTGGTCAAATTGAGGGCACCTGCAAGAATTGAATGTCCAATACCTTCAGAAAAAGGAACTAATGGAGTGGATAATTTCTTCGAGGATGACTTAAAGTCCAATTCTTCTTCAAAATTTTCATCAATATCATCAAGAGAATTATGTGAAGACCGTATTTTATTGGATTTTCGTGGATCAAGTTGCGCAAAATCTAATGATACATCCTCACTGCCACTATTATCATGAAATGAAGGAAAACTTCCTCCTTGAACTTCATCATACCCGGTGAGTCTCTCGGACCTATATTCAGGAAGTTCAAGCTTCGGTAATCCATTATAGCTTTCAATATTTTTATCTTCTTCAGAATATTTAGATGGACTTACAAAACCGCCAGGAGATAGTGAACTGTCCCTTGACTTTCTGTTTATTTTTTCGCCAATTACCCCAACATGCCTGGGGCTGGTTTGGACTGGAGTTAAACTGCCAGGAGAGGATGTACCAGCATTATACCCACTAGGGGTTGTTAATCTAATGAGTTCATTGCCTGTATTTACATTTGTAGTAGCATTTCCTAAATGGTCTCTTTGTTGACTCACAGGTGATTTTTTTTTATCCAACCTTTGTGCATCTACAACATTTGGAGTGGACTCTCTTGAGTTTGGTCTGTCAGAACTTGGAAGTGAACCCAGTGCAGGAAACTCAGAGGGCATAAGGTTCTGTGTTGATTGATGGGAAAACTTATTTTTCTTATCCAAACACAAGACATCTCTAGCTATTTCAGTTAACTTGCTTTTTTTCTTGGTTGCATCTATCTGGCTTCCACACATAGTACATAGTGTATCTATTGCTTTTTCCACTGAAACGAAATAAAAAAAATTAATTATATACAATAAATGTAAGAAAGGTTTAATTCAACTGAAGTCATTTTTTTCCAGTAATCTTGATACATGTTCAGTAAAACTCGGTTAATATGAAGTGACTGGTACTTATGAAATTACTTTGCTATATCCGTAATTCGTTATATCCGTATAAGAAACTCTTTAAATTTATATAGCTAGGGATTCAAGATAACTTCGCTATATCCGTGAATTCTCAATATCAGTGTTCGTACTGTATCATTTTACAAAAGGAATATCTAATTATTCAATTACTCCGGTAAATGTAATATCAATCCAAATTGAATAAAATACATGTATATATTAAATTATCGGATACCATTTTAAAGTGGGGGAAAGCATTAAACAACAGGAAACTAGAAAACTGACCAGTCAGCAATAGCCCCTCCATGAGGTAGAATTATAACAGTGCTGCTTATGGAATGATTAAAAAATATATGACGGCAATGTTTCTTAAAATTTCAAAGGTTTAAAAACCTGTAAATAATATCCTTGTAATTACACAAGACAGTAAAGAACAACTCAACACTGAAGGTATATATCTAAACAAAAATGAAGCTTGTGTTATATAAATCTGCCTTCTAAAAGTACATATCACTGTTATAACTTTAAAACAAACAGCAGTTGCAGACAAAGGTTTTCATTAATCTTAAAGTGACAGATAAAGATAAGCCTTCTAAATTTTCTGCAGCAGGCTAGATAATTAATCCAAGGGATTATTGTATTCTCTCATTTTCTTAATTTATAATAAGAACTTTTTCAGTAATGATAGAAATCCTATTAATAATCTTCTTGAATTTTCATCAGCAAAAAAAAATTATAAATAAATAAATAAAAATAAAAAATATATATCTTCTTTAATCTATTTCTTGTTTTTAGAATTCAATGAAATCAGAATATTTATAGGGTATTTCAATAAAAATAAAGTAAAAACATTTATACTTCACTCCACTTTCCAAATGGACTTAACTATTACATTTGCAGACAGAGGTGGTAATTAATCTCAATGTGACAGATAAAGAATGCTTTAGATTTTCTTCAGGAGAAAGCTAATTAATCCTAGGACAATTCATGGCAGTATTCAGTTTACAATGGGAACATTTTCAGAAGTTATCTCTCTTTGCCAATTCATTCTTATATAAAGTTCAGGAATCTACCCCACCACCCCAGCTCCAAACCAGAGAACATAGAGAAACATCAAACACTTAGCATCAAAATATGTCTTTTTGCCTACTGAACTACCATACCAAATTTGAACTTAATTGGGCTACCATAAAAAAAGTTATTAGGAAAAAACAGAAAATTTGTGGACAAATTTGACCTGCCATGTGATTACATTCACCCGAAATCCTTGCGGGGCCCTAATTATACCCAAAGAAAGTGACATAAAAGCGGCAATGTTAATCAAAGGTTTTTATTATGCTTGGGTCTGTAGCTCGCTGCTTAATTTGTCCGAATTTCTCAGAGAACTACAGTTCTGTAGCTAATAGATCTGTAGCTAAAAGTACACTGTTATAACTGTACACATGTCCAAAGTTATTTTGCATATTCTTAGTAATCCATATATGGGAAATGATCAACATATTTTTATAGATTCAAAATTATCGTTTTGAAATTCAGAACTCCAGAATATTTGGTTTAATAAGTTGGTATTATCTTTTTCCACTTTGTTCTATTACATTGCAAATACATGCATATAGGATGAATTTTACCTAAGAAAATGTATGTAGGACAATGATAGAACTTTCTTTTTATAGTAAAGCATACATAACTGAAATAATCCAAATGAAGACAAAAATTCAACTAATTTTCTCAATGGTTTTTCTCGCTTCAAATTTACCTGCCATGTTTACATTCAGAACCCTCTGGATTTGTCATAGTAAATGCACTGAGTACGAGTTATTGTCCGTGGATTTTTTTGCTATATTACGAATACACAGAACAAATTTTATTGTTAAACAGGGTCCGGAGGACAATATCATTTTAACAATAGAATGTTCTATCTCACACTTTGGGACCACTCGCCCAAATGGGATATAACAGTCCGTTTGGGATATAATGTCCCAAATGGAATATAATGTCCCAAATGGAATATAAATTTACAGTGTAAAAAAATTTTAATTTGGCAATAAATATCATAAATCCTCATCAGGACATTTATTAAGGAATAACTTTTGGTTGACAAGTTTTTCTGTATGCCCATTGTTTAAGAGACTGATCCCTCAGAATTTCTATAACTTTCTGGGGATCAATCTTACAAACTGTAGGGTTGCAGAAAAACTTGCTCAACAAAAGTCTATTCCTTTTTAAGTGTATTGATGCAGATTTATGATATTTATTGCCAAAATAAAACATTTAAATTTTTTTCACTGTAATTTTATATCCCATTTGGTATATTATATCCCAAACGGACTATTATATCCCATTTGGGTGAGTGGTCCCAACATGTCTAATGTTCATGATGTTGGAAGAAATTATCTTTATAATTCATACTAAATTAAATGAAGCAACATCGAGTAGCTAAATAAAGCTAAGTCTATGTAGGTTATCCAAGCTACGTAGCTAAATTCACTGCTTGTACTGTTACTGGACCTGATTGTAGAAACCGAAAGCAGGCTGAAATTTATATGACAACAGATGGGTGAATAGGGAGATAGGTGAATAGGGAAATGTAAAGTCACTGGTTATGAAAAATACTTTGATAACACACCATTCCATTCTAATTCTTGAAGGATGATAAACACCACATCCCCATCAACCTTTCCGTCAAACATATCTTGAACATGACGAAAAATCTGGTCGTTCACTTCCTGTTGTCTTTGAGAGCCGGTTAAAGGTGCTTGTGGTTTAACTTGATTGACCTCTCTGATCGGATTTTGTCTCTTCATTTCAAACACCAATGCTATGTAATGTCTGCATTCAAATTCATCGTCATCTTTGACGACGATAACGTATGTTTACACTATCCTCCCTCAACGTGGTCTGAATCAATCTATACTGCGCAGATGCCATGCGCATGAAAATATCTCCAACTCGCATATAAAACGCGGCATCTGATTTGCTAATGTGTATGAAGTGAAAATTAATTAGTCACAATTCGTAAATACTTTGCAAGAGCAATCGATAAGAAAATAACAGCTGCAAAAGAAAACAATAGTGATTTGTCTGAAAGTTTAACTTCCTATGAAGTCAAACAGAAATATACAGTTGTATTTATACTAAACTTTCTTCTTTTAATTGACCAATCAAACGTGCTCTTTTGTTGGGTGACGAAAATATTATTTAACCTCTCATATGGAGGAATAGTTGGCGCCGTTTGGGAGCTCTTTGTTGACATTCTTCAGAGTACAAGTTATTTTGCTAAATAATAGGTAAAGGAATTTTAGTTATTATCCTATAGATGATAAACATCATTTAGAAGCAGCAGCTCATCCCGAAGAAACATTTTGGTTTTTGTTCTTGGTAAAGCTGTTGAATTTATGCTTTCAAAATGGCCGAATAATTTTGATCTAAAAACATTTTAGGAACCAAATCTAGAGAAGATGTGTCTTTATAAAAAAAATATTATTTTATGGTATGTTTACATATTAATACGTATTAAGCACTTTTCGAATATATAAGTACAGAATTCATTTCTTCAAATATGTGTAATTTTAACTAATTTACTAAATATTGTGTTGCTGAAAGATAGGTTTGCTCCTGCTTAATATGTATACACAAGTTTAGTACCTTGTGGAAAGGGAAAGAAAGGGATGCATTGTCATACAGTGATTCATTTCTTTCTCTTTCCACAAGGCATATAACATGACAATTTCCTGCGGGATACTTATTTTGACTCTCAAATAAATGATTCCATATGTTCTTATTCCAAGCCTCTATATGATTTGAAGCCATTTAATTTATTGATGTTCTGGAAACTCTAGTAAATAACAATTTATAGTGTGGGATAAAACCAGGAACCTTTTGAGTTTTCATTCTGAAGTGTATTGTGAAACCTCTTCATAGTTAGAATGATCTAACCATGTCTCTGGACAAGCCCTCACCACAATAAACGATTTTCACATTTACAAAAGTTATTCCCATTTTTGGGATCGGTCCAGGGTCAAATGGCGTAAGGTACTGTTTTCCCTGTATAACCTTACCAACATTATGGGTCAGTATCTTAGAAATAAAATCTGTACGAATATGTTCATTATGTTTTTCATGTTGCCCCATACTCTGGCAAAACAGGTAAAGATCGAAATTGTCAGATAACGTTGGAAGATTAAAACAATTAATTGGTAACTTACAAAGGACAAAGTGAGAAAAATGAGCTTTAAGCCGACTGCGGGAGATAACTCTTAGGAATGTGAAATTCGTCTATTAGAATATGTGTAAAAATATAAATGTTGATTTATCAGGTATGATGAACTTTTCATTGAATTGATCATTAAGTCTTTGCATCTAGCAGCTGTATGTACATTATTTTTATGTACCTACATTGACCACAACTGTGATGTGTAACTCAGGCATGTTTGGTGAATGCCTTAAAATCAACAAAAAATTTAAACACTCTGAAAAAACCCTGTTACTGTGTCGCCCCGACTTCGGGGCGAAGTCGGGGAGGACATATTTCGATTGTACGCATGTTTTTGTTGTCCAGGCTGTTTCTCAGAGATGGCTGGGACAATAATTCCTGAAACTTTCCTCAATGGATGATTACTGGTTGTAGTTGTGTTGAGTGGTCATTCAGTTTCAAAATGGCTACTGTTGCCACGGAAACCTGCAAAAAGCAATGAATTTTGTCTGCAAGTGTTCTCTCTGGTCACTTGAACATTCGTCATGAAACTTTTTTATTTTGGTGATTAGTAATTGTAGTTTTGCGATTCGCATTTAAAATTTTCAATTAATCGATTATTGCCATGGAATCCAGGGGAAAGTGAAAATTCTTTTACTTTGATTTTTAAATCAAAGTACTGAAAGGCCTGATACGAGTTGATGGTTTTCCAAGCTTAGCTAATGGGTATTGTTTTAGTGATACAAAAAATGAAAGTCTTGTCCAGTTCGGGGCGACATACGCTATTGCTTGCAATAGCAGACTTTCTAGTTTATGTTTCTTGTCATTACATTTTTACAAACATGTTGGATGGATTAATTAGTGCAGTCTTCACGAAAACTTTTCAAACTAACTGGCCAGTCGGACCAGTGAACTTTCAAAATTTACTAGCCCACCAAAATTTTTACTGGCCCCTTACTTAAAAAATAAAATAAATACATTTTCATAACTGTAAATTTATACATGTTTACGTACTTCAACTTTTGTAATGCCGCCATTTTTCACCCTTTGATGCGTTTTGGTAAGTTGTTCGTTGGAACTTTGCACATTTTATGTACTAGTTAATAATTACTAGCTTAGTTCCTGTTACGTAATACATCCATGTTATAATAGGTAGTGGTGTTTCGATTATCGCCGACATCGCCGAATCTATCGCTGAAACCCAACCGATTTCGATTAATCGGATTGAAATTTGAGATCGATTAATTGGTAAAACCTGTAAATGTACGAGTTTACAAAGAACAAACTGTTGTTGACACGAATAGTCGAATACACTACACATTGGCAAAGATGGCGCCCTGTGTCGCAGACAACGAGGACGACCAGCGAGAAATACTTCCCTACCCCGGCACTAAATCGAAGTCCGCCGACGAAACAAAACTTAGACATGCAGGGCCGTCACTGCCCTCAAATTTGGACCGAATATCGGACCCATTCCCAGTGGCACAAAGTGCTAGATTTTCCCAATTTCATACTTAAAATTTCCCCAAAACGTGTTTTCTTGATTATATCACCTAATTTTCCACAAATGCATCCTTTATTTGATCCATTTAGCAGTAATGCATGGTTGATTTTAATCTGCAACAACCCTGTCATGATCGTTTATTTCTAACTCGAATTTCCTCTGTCATGGAATAGAGATCTATAGATAGGTCATACGTAGATTGGGTTGGGGAACTTATTTTCATTATTAAACAAGGATAACCATTATGAGTTAGTTCATAAAATAAATAAATATATTTCAAAGTGAATTATAAGTTAAAATAAAATCATGGATGCTATCTATTTCATTTGCATGTGTTAAATGACCAGAAAAAAGAAATAAATTGTAGATCTAGGCAATTTTATGATATTACCTTTAAAAGGAAGATTTTAAATAGTAACTTAATAATTTCAATAAAATTATTCTTTATAATCTAAATTTTTGATTTATTTAAGATGCAATTAAACAGTAAGAAATACCCCCCCCCCCACATTTTTCAGTCTCTGTATTATATGAAAATAAAAAAAAAATGCCTGCCTAGTAAGTAAATGTTTGATCTGTTAAATATAGATTTTATCAGACCTTATGACTTATGTCCTGTAAATTTTGGCTTTTCAAGTATACTTTTCAAAGTGATAAATGGCTTTCATGATTAAATATTTTGCTTGGAGGGGGGGGGGGGGTGTTAATACATGAGAGTATGTTTAAAATTTTCCCAATTTGACAAAAATGTCGAGGATTTTTCCCAAAAGGTACTGCGACAGCCCTGACATGTCAAGAGCCGTTTGCAAACTCTGCAGGTGAACGTACGCCAATAAAGGTACTACATCGACTTTACGCTCTGTCGTCCTTGGTAAGAAGTTTGGGAAAATGCTATACACGCCCCATTTTTTCACCAGGTTGTTATGTATTTTGTTAGTTACAAGTAGTTAGTACTAGTTACTAGTTAGTAGTTACCCTGTTATTGTAATTGCCAAATTTCATGTTTACTTAATAAGTTGTTAGTTACATTGAATAGTAAAAAAATAAACATTTTATAGAGTCATATATCCTTTATTTCACATATGTTTCAAAATAAATATGGAAACCGATTAATTCGATTAATCACTAAAATCGGACTCCGATTATTAACCGATAATCGGTTTCAGATTTTTTCCTATTATACAACACTAGATGTTATATGATTCAACAACACATGTTTGTTCTTTTTATTTTACATATCAATGAAATTACGCAAGTAAGTCAGTTGAAATAAATTTTGACTGCATATGATTTTTATAATCAACAAGCCCATCGGACTTCTTGAATTTTGATTTTCACTGACCCGACATCAAAATTCACTGGCCTCGGTCTTCGGACCAGTGAGTTTTCGTGAAGACTGTTAGTGGAGTTTTTAATATAGTGCCTTGAATACAATGTTTTGCAAAACAAGGAGGCCATTATTGGCATTAATCATAATGTATTATAAATTAAGTTTTATTGGTAATAGGTATACCTCTTGAATACTTGCAAAACATGTTTTGAAAAAAATACTGATAGTCATGACTGTGTTTTTGTTTTTATACGCCCGTCTTAAGACGGGACGTATTATGTTATAGGCTTCGTGTCCGTCCGTCTGTCCGTCTGTCCGTCTGTCTGTCTGTTAGCTTTTCGTTTCCGGCTCATGACTTTAAAACTATTAGGCCTAGGATTATAAAACTTTGTCATCTGATGCATCTTGGGTAGAAGGTGTGTCGCGCACAAAAAGTAGGTGGCTCTGACCTTTAATTAAGAAGATATAGCCAAATATGGAAAAATCCTTTCCGGCCCATAACTAGAAAACTATAAGACTTACAATCATCAAACTTGGCCAGTTTATGCATCTTAGGTAGAAGGTGTGTCGCGACCTATTTCAAGGTCACTGTGACCTTTGATTTAAATGAAATTTAACAAAAAATGTGTCTTTTTACTATTCACTTACACATCCCAAATAATGTAAGAGTATTGCACTGTCCTTATTAAAAAAGTGTTAAATCAAGAAAATACTTATTTTTTTAAAGCATATACTTGACAGCAATCTATAACAAATATTATGTATGTTAAAGAAATCCTACCTCTCCCATGAGTGTAATTATCAAGCACTGGTCAAGACTCAAGAAGAATTTTGATAACAGAAAATTGCATGTCAAATTAGAGAGAAATTAATGAGTTTTGAGTGTGAGGAGTTCGCTAATAGCTAG